AAATCAAAAATCATATCACTACGTTACCTAACCAAACACAATTATATAAAACAAAATTACAACACAACAAACAAAACATAAATCTCAACAATCCCGAAATTTCTAAAATCCCAAAAATTCCAAAAATCCCAAAAATTCCAACATTATCTTTAGACGGATCTTCAGCCGTTGAAGCGACAATGGAGTATGCCACGAAACAAAGGATTGCCCCGACCCACAAAAGAATCGAGAATCCGCCAAATAGCTGCTTGCAGAACTTCACCCATTCCGGTGTTGTCTTTGGAGGGGTAAGTTGGTTGGGGCCATCTCGTTCCAAGATTTCTCTAGCCCTCTGGGTGGTCAAGCCCTGTTATTTTTTGGGGGGGGGAAGTTGAAATAAAACAATTATAAAATCAAAATTTTAGCTATTCCATTACAATGTTGTCACAAGAACGTGAAAATTTGTTTTACGAAATTTCCCATCGCAGAATCATTCATAGATTCAAAAATGTTTTCAATATTGTATCTATGTGTTGATGAATTATCCAAAAAAATTGAAATTCTACAAAATCATTCTTCAATTTCAAATTTGACACAATATTTCTATTTGACACAAAAAATCCTCTACCACTAATTATTAAATCATTCCAATAATCTAGGTAAATATTCTAATTAGAGCTATGCATTCTTCGAAAATAATGTTCAACAATTAAAATAATATTTATTTAATTTAAAAATAGATAACTTAGCAAGACAAAGTTTAGAAGAAGTGTTTTAAACTTTCTAATCAAAACTTTTATAGTTACATTGCTTTCCATTAATAGTTTTATAGCATTTTTTATAGCTTTCCATAGTTTTGCAGTTTTTCCCATAATTCCTTTCAGAAAAATTGCACTTGGATGAAAAAATTTTTTTTTTCGTTTGGAAAATTGTATGGATGGAAATTACCAGGATGGAAAATATTGCGATGAACTGGATGACCTTCTCACCACCATCATCTTCGTCGTCACCTTCGTCGTCTTCATCACGTTAATTAAGTGAATATTATCATCAATAGAGCACATACAAACAACAAAAATGATAACTTTTGATATTTTATAACTAGTTTGCCTCACATGAACACACACACAGGCGTGCACACACGCACATATACAAACATACCTTCATATACATTCATGCATACAAACAAACAAACATACATACATACATACACACATACATACCTACATACATACATACATACATACATACATACCTACATACATACATACATACATACATACATACATACATACATACATACATACATACATACACACATACATACCTACATACATACATACATACATACATACCTACATACATACATACATACATAC